CAGGTCTGCTCTGCCCCTTCGAATATTAACACGTCCCCTGCGTGATCCAGGGTTGAGCGTTTTGCAGCCCTCAGCTAGGGAACGTCATTGGGTCTGCAAGGATGCTGTTGGTGGCTTTGGTGCAGTGGCTGCAGCTCCCAGGAGCAGGGCTGGACGGATGTGATGTGGCTGCTGGGGGGACCAGATCCCCAGGACACTTGGCGTAGGCTTACTTGGCTGCCTGCACCGACTGGCTCTGGAGGGCTGGTGGGGCAGACTCTGCCCTGGCATCGTTGGGCATATGGATGTGCTGAGGGAGCTTCCTCCATGCCGGGTTGCAACACTGCTGCAACCTCTGCCCACACAGCTGACAAAACTGCTTCCAGATGACAAGCCAGCAAGGGAACTCATTTCGCACTGACCCACAGAGGAGACCTGGTGCTGCAACACCTCCAGTCTGGACCAGAAGTGACAGATATTCTGCAACACTCTTGCTCTCTTGAGAGGTCCATCAGTCTCTTAGTAACTTCTTTAGTCCCCAGAAGGCTGCTACAGACCACAGAGACCAGCAGAAACGATGCCAAGGGGCCTGGAATGACCTGTCATTGCCCTGCCTGGGCAGGTGCAGTTGCTGGTAGCACACCCAGTTAGGAGTAAAGCAACAGCTTCACTGGGCAAAGGCTCACCCCAGTCCTGGGGACCGTTCTCCATGCCTGTTCCCTCACAGCACTTTCTGCCAGTGGTACAGCTACCAGAGACAACACCACTATATTCCTGCAGTCTGGGAGCCAGCTTTTGCCTCTGCAGAGGTTGACAAGGGCAGAGCAAAGGGACTAATTAAACCTGACAGAAAGTCACGTTATCTCTAGCTTCCAAATGTCACATCACTAGTGACAGACAGGTGCTATAGACGTAGCACAGCCCCCAGGAACGTCCAGCCCGGATCACCAGCTTATTCCCTTAACAAGGGTGGAGACCTTGCTCTCCTAATTGCCTGAGCGGTGAGATCTTCACAGCCCCTCCAGCAGCACTGCTGAGTTTCCCCAAAACTGCCTCGTCTCCCACAGCCAGGCAGGAGCCACCTTGGCTGTGAGGGTAACCCATGCCTGGGCAATGGAGGCCACCAAAATCCTCTTTTAGGGAGGTGCCTGGGATGGCAACTGTTCAAAATCCCTGCAGGATCGTCCTGAGCGTGTGTCCTGTTGACCATCACGGGACTTACACACACATCTGAACTTCAGCATGTTTTGAAAGTGCTTTTCCGAGTTAACCTCTATGTGCCTGCCCAAGGTGAAGGCCACTGGAGAATCAGGCTTTTTTCTTTTGGTGATACTGATTTCCCCCTTTCACTTTCCTGTTCAGTGAAAGCTGAGAAACCTGAGCCAGTTGTGAGGCTTTACTCAGCATAGCTATTGCAGGAAATGCCCTGGGAAATGTGCATACGAAGAGCTTGCTGGAGACCATGAGCATCGTGGCTGGGCAGCGAGTCCCCAGCTGCAGGAGGCAAACAAGGAGGCTACAGAAACCGTCTCCACCAGGGAGGTGGTGACTTGGATCGGTTGGCAGCGGAGTCAACCTGAGCCGTGCTAACAGCGTTCCCGGTGCAGTCGTGGCCCAGCCTAGCCTCTGCCGAGACAAGCTGTTGCAGAAAACTGAGTTTTATTTATTCTTTAAAATCAGCCCATGAGACTGCCTGCCAGCAAGAAGGGAATCATTCCTTGATTAGAAAGGGGAAGCAAAGGAGTTTAAACAAAAGGGAGGAGAAATACACTCTCTTTCTGCAGCGATATTAAAAAAAGAAGTGCCATTCAGTTTTTAGAAATGCTGATGATTGATAATGTGGTGAAGGTGATGGGGAATGTGTTGGAGTGAGTGAAACAGTATTGGACTTTGAACAAAAGTGCTCTTCTTTCAGCAGTGATGTGGTAATTGGTTTCTTTCTTGCCGCCAGACTCAGTTTGAGGGGAATTTTATCAATTTGTTCAGTTTCCAGTTGAAAAGGTTGGGGTAGTTAAGTGCATCAACATCAACCTTTAACTGCGATAGATCAAAACAGGAAGGGCGAGCGCTGGCCTGGGGAAGGCTTTCAGCCAGCTCCTCCTGATGGGCGAGAGAGCAGGCAGCTCTTGCAGGGGTCGTCTCCCGCTGCCGGCTTCGGAGGTGGTCGTGTGGGTTTCTCGGCTTCCCTGGAGGTGGATAAACACAACCTGTATCCATCTGACAGGAAAACAAAATGGGCAGGAATTGGCCTGTGTTTTCCTTTCCTGTTGCCCATCGCTAGCCTGTGAAGCCCCATCCCATTGTCAGAAGCTGTGAAATGGTTTTGAAAATAAAGGCTTTTTAATTACAGGCACATTTGTGAGCCTTCTGGAGGCCATCTGGCTGGAGGAAAACGTGTTGCTAACATTGGCTCTGGCTGTGAAGGGGAAGCCCGGAGAGGCAGGGTGAAGAGCAGTTCCTGGAGAAGCACACTATTAACTTTTAAGAGCCAGATCCTCTCTGCGCTTTAAGATATGCGGGCTGGATGCAGTGCCTATCCATTTCAGTAGTGCCGGATCTGCTCACCAGTGTTAGGATGGAGAGTGGAAGGGCAGGAGCTTTCAGCACAGTTTGCAGATCTGGTCTGCAAGTGCTGTGGATGTGGAGGCTGCAGGATTTTCCTTGAGACGTTTGTCCTCAGCCGGAGGTGGGGAGGAAGGGCTGTGAAGCGATCCTGGGCCATCGTGGCCTTTGCAGAGCACCGGGTGCACTCTAGGGAGTGAATTTTATGCGATCTTACCGATTATGTCTTTGATTCATTCACTTACTTCCACCCAGGAGCACATGAAAATGACTGCCTTGATGTAATTTGGGTAATGAGCAAGGAGCTTTAACTGTTTGCATGCCCACTTCTGTGAGGGAGCAGATTTCTCATTCCATGCACAACAGCTATCCCCCCCTTTTTTTTCCCCCCCGAGCCTCCCGAGACTGTTTTATTCTTTATTTTTACACAGATGACTGGCCACGTTTCTTCCTTCTGGTAAAATACTGAACATATAAGCTTGTCTCTGGACTGGGAAGTGGAGGTGACAGGCCCCAAATCCCGGAAGCACTGGAGCCCTTCCCAGGTGTGCGGTGCAGAGAGGTCATTATATGACATATAGATTTTTTTTTTTTTCCAAGAAGGACTGACAGACAAAGACCATGAGTCCAAGCAGCCGGTCCCAGACAGTATCCAAAGGTTTTCAAGTGATATATGCAAGGAAAGGGATGAATTACTGAAGAAAGGGGAGGCAGTCCTCCGAGCTTGATGGTACCTCGTACCCCTGACTTGCAGCAGAGGCTTCCGGGTTCCCGCAGGAGGCAGAGCCGGCACCTGGGAATAACCTTCTGCTGTTGGGCGCAAGTAGCAGGTGCGCAGTGAATAGAAACTTTCCTTTCCCCCTTTATTAATCCCTGGTGTATGAGTGGATGTTATTGGTGTCAAATGAACTCCAGTGTGCTTGATCCTGTCTGGACTTAACACTGCCCAAGAATAGAAGTTTCTGTCAATCTGAATACCCCGGCTTCGTTTGTCATTGCTCTCTTCTACAGGGCAAGTTCATGAGGGAATGTGTTGTATAATTATGGTGCTGTGTTTGGTATTAACCGCTCCTATCAAAGATGCAGAACACAGCTAGGGCCTCATTAAAGACAGTCATTGTGCTAATTAGGTAGGTTTCGTACTTAATAATGGAGAACTATCTTGTGGCAGTCTCACAGAAAAGAGAGGAGAAAAAGACATGATCATTTCAGGAAAAGACACTGGAGAAGTGAAATGGTAATGCACAAATCCAGCCCAAATCCATGAGCAGGTCCTGCTCTGGAGCCCAAAGGAAGCAAGAGTGGGAGTCCTGCAGGCCACAGCCCGGTGGTGGCTGCTCCCAAGCAGGGCCCGTCCTACGCAGAGGCGAAGGGAAAGGCCGTGGGGACGCTGGCTGGGGAAGGAGGGAAATTAGGCTAACCGCGCAGGAAAAAGCTGGGGCACTGCTTTGTGCTACTGCTCTTTCCCCGTTCACAAATCCTACAGAAGGGTTTGCTGGGGGCTTGGAAGGGCCCATTTGCAGCAAACAGGATGAACTACTGATTTAAAAAAAAATCCTGTAGAAACAGCCTTCAGAAAAATGAAGCAGAGAGAAAACAACTGAACCTAAATCCTGTGTGGAGGGAAAACAAAAGCTTGCTTGCAACTCAAGTTCCTGAAAAAGTGCTGAGCACAGCTGCCAGATGCTGACCCACTCTCCTCTCCTTGTATGGGCACAAACAGGGCTTGCCTTGCGCCTATATTTAATTTCCAAGAAAAAAAAATTCTCCCTCCATGCCTCTGCTCTGCTGGCCTCTCTGCCTTAGGAAGTTAAAACAGGAGTGGAGTTGCATATGTTTTAAAAAAAAAAAAACAAAAAACAAAAAAAACCCCCACCAATATGTGCACACAAGCCCTTCCTAAACTTGGAGTGAGCTGAGCAGGTTTTTGCAACGTAACACTCTGCTGTTCGCGTGAACCATCTGGCTGGAATCAGAGCTGATGAAAACGTGAGGGCAGCCCCCGATGGGAGACCTCTCCCCCTCCCTTGGCTCACGAGCAGTAACCGGACCGCGCGCAGGCGAGGGAGCGTCTGGGCACCGACGTCTGTCCCGGAGGGAGCCGTGCTCCCCTCGCCCTTCCTGGGACGAGCACGCAGCGACGCGACCCGGCCCTGGGTGCAGCCGCCCCTGCTGCACTTCCTCACCTCCCTTCTCCAGGACCAAGCGAGCACATCGCTCCAGGGCCTTCCCTCCCCGAGCAGTTTCTCACCCAAACCTTTCTCCAGCCACCTCCCCACCCGTAACTTCTGCAGAGCTGCAACAACGGACCGCAGCCGACGAGCTAAACGCTGCGTTTGCTCGGACTGCTTTTCGTGGCAGACACCAGTCCAGAAGCTTCTGCATTTGAGAAAATACTGTTGGGACTGAAAGGGGCTTTTTCACAGTTGCCACCGTCATAGAGACTATGTGACAACACCTCCAGAGACTGACGTCACTTTATTTGTAACTCTTAGAGAGCTTAACACTGAAGAACTTTGTTCTTTTAAGACTACATTTGTACACAACAGCATATGAGCGAGAACAACGATAGAAGTCTGTTGCAGCTTCGTATCTCAGTGCGACATCTGGGGACCAGGCCATGGAAGGGGGAAGCCAAACCAGCAGGGAATTTCTGGAAATCACAAAATTCAGTGAAAGGAGCGTCACGCTCCAGGTGGACCTGCCTGGAGAAGGAGAGGCGCTGTTAGCGCCGTGGAGATGCAGTTTAGCAAAAACAAGAATAGTTGAAATTCAACAAAGCTGGGATTCAGCACCTGCAGTTAGCAATCATTCAAGTCCTGCAGTCTCATAAATTCCTACTTTTTTTCTTTCAATTTAAATAACAAGTGCTTCAAGGTCAACGTTCAAATTGCCTGTTTTGTAACCCAATTTTAAGTGCACATCAGTAGGAGTAGATTTAAAAAATTTATATATATCTATATATATTTGAACACACATACACACACACACGCACACAGTGAATTTCATGTGCTGCAGCTATTTTAACTAGAGATGGCCTGGATGGGCCTGAAGTCCTTATCATAAGCCAAACTTTAGGAGCTCATAGCTGGTGGCAGCAGTGCCCTAAAAGCTGCCAAAGATGCTGATGATTTTTGCAAGCATCGGCCTGGCCCACCTCAGCACCCGGGGCTGCTGGCGGCTGCTTGGACTGCCCCCAAGCTGCCCTTCTCCAGAAAACGCTGCTTGCAGGCAGCCGATGCTCATGGCTTCTTTCACAGAGAAGCCTCTCACACCTCAATCCAGGTCAAGAGCTCGGGGGGTCCTGAAGAGCAGCGTGCGGCCTCTAGCTTGTCTCCAGTGTGAAACAGAAGTGCTTGGCAGAGCAGTGGGCACTGCCCAACTCAGACCCATACAGCTGTGTTAATATCAAAGCTGGACTGGGGGTAGTCTATGGTATCATGGACTTTCTTGGTGCCAATTTTAGGTTTGTCACTATTGCTCTCCACCTTTGGGCACCTCTCTACTTTGCTGTGATTGTTCTGCGTGTTCCCATGAAGCGGAAAGTAAAATGTCCCCTTGAGTTTGTTCATTTTTTTGGGTCTCTTTGAAATTTCCAGCTGTTTGTCTTCATGTGGTAGCCAGCACGGTTTCTCCTTGAGAAGCCTGTCTCGATCTGGTCGAACGCTCCTCAAAAACTTCTTGAAGATGTTGGCAGTGAGGGAGAATTTCCTGTAGAGTTCTTGGGATCTGCTAACAGACAAGGACGCTTCACTCTTCTCCCCCTTTTTATCCAGCTCTGGCAGATCCAGCCAGTTTCCAACCAAGTCTGCAAAGATGTTATCCCCCAGGACCAGCGGTTGCCGGTTCCTGCTCTGGGACATCAAGGAGGAGGTCCAGTCATTGCCATCGTCACATCCCTGGCAATCCCCACGACCTAGTGTCCCCACAGCCCTGACAGAGCGGACGCTGGTGGCAGCTCTGCTAGGCTGATTCCTGGCCATACTCCCTCTGCCCGGCTCCGGTGTCCCTGCGGGGAAGCGCTTGGCTCTGCTCAAAGTTGGGGAAGGGCCGTTAGCGCGATAAACTTCTTCATCGCAGATGCTTTGGGAGGAGGAGGAGGTTGTGTCTCTAAGGCAGCCACCCTCAGGGAGAGTGGCAGGACCCAGCAAGCTGGCAGACCGCAGCGCCGGTGCAGAGGCAGTGAAGGACGTGGGGCTGCGTTTGTCCGCCAGTACCTTCCCCAGCAATCGCTCGTTCTGCTGGCCGGCTTCCAGCCCGGCGCGGGGCACCTCCCTGCCACTGCGGGAGCGCTGGTGCTGCTCAACGCTAGAAACTGTGTTTTGACTCCCTGATATCTCCAACTGCTCCAAAGCTGTCTGGACTTGGAGGAGTTTCAGCTCCTGCAGTGCCCCCATCATGCAGTTCATCTGCTCGTGCAGCCCGTCCCCAACCTCCTTCATGGATAGCTGGGGAGGAAGAGAAGACATTGAGTCACTGTTGGAGACACCAAGAGAGAATAAGCAAACGTTGGCAAAAGGGCAGTAGAGCTGGGCTCGGCTCCGTCTCATTTTGTAAGCTTTATCACTGCAGAAAAAGCAGTTCTCTTTTGAAACACGGCCTCTTCCTGAATTATCACATTTTAGATACATCGTACCTGTATTACAACCACTTAATAGGGTGGCAATTGGATATTTCTTAGATTCTTTAGCTGTGTTGGGTTTAAAAATATTCTGGACCCTTTAGGAATAAGAGGAGCTGATAGAAGTAGTGGATTTTCTGACCTAACAACAAAAATATAAATTGTTTATTTGAGTTTCCATTAATTGCTTGGCAGAAACCCAAGGCATATAATTGTGAATGGTTTTGGCTGCCTCCAGTTTAGCGTATTCTGCTGCTTTTGTTTCTTTTGTGCTATGTAACTAACTGAAATCAGGAGTCAGAATAATGAACAGACCATGCCTGTCACTGGGAATCTCGTTCTCCAGTTTAGCACTAAAACGCTAGAATAAAATAAAAATCAACACTAATAAAAATCACATTATATTACTATGCAATATATCTTAAGATTACAATAGCCTAATTTACAGGCACCTCTCACTAGAGGACAATCAAATAAATTTGAATGCACTTGAAATTTTTTCAAAAAACCATCAAAAACCTCTAAAATTATTTTAATTAAAAAGCAATCTCTTTGATTCTCAGCTAAGACCATTAATACCAGTTCTGCTTTATCCCTAAAATTTGCTGTAAGGCTTTAACTTTCTATGTTAGACTCCAACTATGCTAGTTATTTTCCAAAGCTTCTAAGTGCCCCTCTCTTCTCTTTCACTCTGTTGCTTTCTCACTTTCTTATGTAGGATCTGGATCATATTCCCAAAGCGGCATCATAAAACAAATGGGCTATACTTTCCAACAGCTGCCCCCCCCTTTTTTTTTTTAGCAGGCGGTGGGGGGGAATGGGAAGGAAAGGGGGAAGAACAGCAGGCGATGGCAGGGCTGGAGGTGAAGATATGTCACATTGATGAAGGTGGTTTGCAGAAGAGATTACCACTGCCTAGGAAAAGCTTCAGCCTGCCTTGTCACAAACAAACAGTTTAAAAGCCTTATCACAAATTTTGTATAATGATAGATCTCTTTAGTTTACAGTGGAAAAGGACAGAAGCATCTTATGTTCTGCCCTACATTATCAAGCCTTCTATTTTTCCCTCTCCTTCATTTCTGCTAAATTATTTCAGTTATTTGTTATTTGTCCATTTCTTTACCAAGGTCTAGCCAGTGAGAAAGAGCAGTAATCAAAAAATTTGATCCTCTGTAACAAGCTTGCTCCGAAAGTGGAAAGCCTCTCGGCAGTTTCTGAACACAAATCCCCAGCTCCATTTCAAAACTGAGAACCTAAAACTAGCAGGCAGATTACACTGATTTTCAAAGCTTCGCTCCCAAGAAACTGATTCATTTCCCTGAACGAACACACCAGCTATGACAATATGGAAAAGATCTGTGTTTAGCTCTCTGATTACATTATCAAGTCTTTCCAACTATCTACTTTTATTAACATCAGCAAATAAACCTCTACATCTGCACATATGCAAATAATGCCCCACTTACACAGTAACAGAGCTCTCAGGTTACCGGTACAAAAGCTGAGGCCATATGTTCTACAAGCCTCAGACAAAACTATCACCTTACCTCTCCAGATTTGCAGTAATGCTTCTCGTCCTAACCTTTCTCGCCTTATTAATGGAAGTCTGTTTTATCTGGGGCTTTGCAAAAAGCTGGATTTGGAGTCAGCTTGGCCCCTCATTGGACACTTCTCATCAAATCCCCTCGCAGGCAATGCGGTGTAATCAAGCCGTGCTGAGTGACAAGGGCCCGTTAGTAATGACTAGGCTGATCAGAGAGTCGGCATATGCTGGCCGGCTCCGCTCTTCACCTCATTGATTCAATTAACTCGCCCATGATGGGTGGTATCATTACAATGCATGCCTCATCCAACAAGGCTCTGTTAAGCATTAATATTTCATAGGCAGCATTTATCATCAACGTGTTCGTTTCTCAAAGTCTTCCCTTCCGACAAGCCCAAAAGCTCGGTTCCTGGTGGCCCCTTCCTACGGGATGTTGCCCTGGCCGCTGCCTCTGTCGACCCCAAGCCAGCAGCAGCCCGGGCAGCTGCGGAGCCCCAGCCCCTGGCAAGCAGGAGAGACGGCTTCATTTGCGAAACCATGTTCCCATCAATGACTCTGAGATTTGGCCACTTCTCACCGATCTGCAGTGCTGACGGCACAGATGCCTGGGCTGAACTAGGCCACTACTGTTGCCTGTACAGCCAAGGGAGAGGAACAGGCACTTTTAGGGCATGATCCGTGTGACCTGTCTTGGCAACCTGCTTTTGGGTGAGAGAAAACCTACCCTCTGGATTCAGCCTCAGTGACCCTCTGGTAATGTGACTGCCAACCATCAGCAAAAGAGTTTTGAAGGTCCTGAGGTTTTTAACCTTGCTATTGTATGTAGGGCTGCAGGAATACAGTGATGAGCAAGTTCTTGGCACCATGGGGCCTCCTGTGTCCCCCGTTCCTGGCTGTGGCACTGCACAGTCACTGCTTCTCCTCATGCTATGCCTTGAAGGGAGGCCAGGGATGTTGTCACCATTTTACAGGCGAAATAGGGAGGAGACTAAGCAAAGGCTAAGGGGGGAGTGAGGGCATGAAATGAAGCCCTGATGCCAGGAACAGGCATGATGTTAGCTGACCCCTGCTTCCTGCCCAGCTCCTCCACCTGTACTACTAACACTTCGGGTTATGAATGTAAATAAACCTCTGCTTTATCTTTTGCCATTCATGATAGCTGTTTAGTCTTTTGCAGAATTAAACAGTGTGAATGAAACCCAGCCCAAGGTGAAGTCACTGACTGCTCAGTGACCAAACAGTCTGCAGGGGCTTGGATTTCATCCATGAGTAATTATTCTGGGGTAATTAAGAGTACTCACCCTGGAGAGCAAACTCTGAAAAAAAAAAGTTTCTTCCCCAGGGTCTAACAGCCATTCTCTCCTGTTTGCTGGGAAGGTAGCAGTTTTCCCAAGCTCAGAGTGGCTTCTTTGATACACTGCACACTATAACAACTGAGAAAAGGAACAAGTTCCCGCAGAAAGGAGACCACCACCCCTGCAAAGGGTCAGGATTAAATTATCTGCTCTGTTAGTGGGGAAAAGTTACTGCAAATAATCCTGCAGACTGAGCAGGAAATCCAGTAGCAGCTTTGACTGCAAGGTGATGGGTACGCAAGGCTAAATGAACAACTCTTGCAGCCTTGCTGATCTTTGGTCGCACGCTTGGTATAGAAGGAATCAGAATTTGTGATAAACTAAACTGCAATTTCAAACAGAGCATGAATGTGACACCAAACCCCAGAGAGCCTTAATGTGAGAGAGACATGGACTGCACATGCTGAAGTTATGCAAGTGACATTATATAACCCAGCCACCACGGGCCACGAGGAGATGTCAGAACATCTTGTGGATGCTTGTGAGCTGTAAATCCCAAACCTATTGTTGAACGAACCCAGCATCCAGCCGAGCTGCAGAGTAGAGTGCAGGGGAAATGTCATTCACTATGAGACTTTGGCTTTATCAGAGATCGTATCGTGTCCATCAGCATCTTCCCTTCATATATTGGTGGTCTCCTGCTCCAGGTGTGCAAATAAGTCAGCAAGTAAGTCAGCTCTAGATGCCTAATTTGAAATATTTTGGGCTTCAATACAAGTAGCTGCTTGGCACCTCTTCTTCCAAGAAAAGCCACTGAATAGCCTTGAGCCATCCAAAATTGCACTATGACTTAATCTACTCACACAGGGCCAGCTTCTGTCTGCCAGAGCCACTGAGGTCACCAGAACTATCTGCCTGGGCAGCATGAGCAGCATTTGACCCATAATGATTGCAGTTTTCTTTCCCACGGCAGGGAGAAAAAGAGTCACAAATGCACTTTCAGTGCAAAAATAAAACATTCTGAACTAGAAGAGCTTTGTACGAAGGCATCGGCATGCAAACACACCAAAGTGCTGCTCAGACATAAACCTTTGATGCCTTGGTGCACAGTTGGGAGAGCTGCACAATGTGGTATTTACTTCCCGAAATGCACTAGCATTTTATCAAATTCAGAACCAAATGCCTGAGCTGTACAAACAAGGGAGATTTCACTAGCCACTTTCTATTTAAGAGTTAAATAAATACATTTTTAACACACTTCAGGAACTAATGTTTTCCTACTAGCATCTACATTCACCGAGTCCTCAAAATTCAGTTCCAACCAGTCCCCTCAAGCCACAGTTGTTTTTATTCCCGGTCCATCTGCACATCTGGCCTGCCTGGGACTACATCAGCTTTTTGATGCTGTCTGGAGAAAAGAAAAAAAAATCCCAGCGAACGCATCATAGCTTCCAGCTGAGCGCAGAGACCTGAAAAGATGAGCTCTGAGTGTGTTTGTGGTAATGAGGAGGAAGACAGATGTCCAGTTCTTAGGTAAAAGAAATGCAATGAGAGGAAGTTATTGCTAAGAGAACAGGAAGGAGCAAATGGCAAATAGCAATTCTTAATAATAGTGCTGATAGGCAACAGAACCAGCAACAAACAATTGGTATTTAAAGAGGATGACATAATAGAGACCAAAATTATTTTAGAACTGCTGAGCTGATCATATTGTTGCTGTGTTTTCCTTTGGGTCACTGATGAGATTAATCTTTAACAAGCCTGTGTTTGTAGCCAGGCATAACTCTTCAGCGAGAGTGTTTCACGGCTCAGAGAACTTCCTTCCAGCTTGCTGTTGCACCTTGCTTTGCTTTCGCTTGATGGATGCCAAAGGCCTGCAATGTTCTTTTTGTCCTTGCGTTTTATCATAAGAATTTTGAGTTCCTTTTTTACCTCTTGTCTTTCTAGTAGGAGCGCATAAGGAGGGTTACTGTGAGCTCACAATTTCTGTGAAAGAGGAAGGATATTAAAACTTTACCAAAGATTTCTTTTCCCAGTAGGTGAAATAGATCTGAAACAGATGTTAACCACAAAAGGCATGGTTCCTGTCACTCGGTTAGCGCTTTTCCTTGCACAGTTGTTTACCTTTCTTTCTGTTGTGCTCTCATTGTTCTGTGCTTCCCAATCACACATGACACATTTAAAGCCAAATGAGAAAATCAGTTTTCTACAGCCAGTAACTGATCAGGTGTTACTTGGTAGTAACTCCAACTTTCAGACTTTTCCTCACACCACAGATGCGAGAAAGACCACAAGCTTGAATGCACAGATTGACCATTGAAA